TAATCTCAGCAGTTGAGACATACTGCCATTTGATAGATTTAAAGGTAGACGTGTATTTATTGCCCAGATAGTATAATGGGCTGATGTTGGTTGGAGTTTTGTTATTGTTTAAATCATCTATAATTGTCTGAGCTACTGAGGTAAAATATTCGTTAAGTACGTTTGCAATGCACTTTTTATTCTGTATCATAATGTTATTGACTTTCAGCGACTGGGGTTCATCCTTCTGAGTTTTAGATCCAGTCTCTTTTTTAATAATTGACCATGTAGTTTTTATTTTATTATAAGATTTTGAAATTTTATTATCATAGTGTACTTTCTTAGCCTCTTTAATAACTTTAGTAAGTACTTTACAGTATTTCTTATAATACAGTTTAAAATGTGGATCATCATCTTGTCTATATTTAATATACAACTTCCTCTTTTTTTCACAAGAAATTCGTATCCCTTGAGTCATCCACGGGTTACATTTAAGTTTGGAAGTAATAATTTTCTTTTTTGTAAAACATGAGTAAAATATTCTCAAGTAAGTATTAAGAAATACATTAAAAGTATTGTTTACATTGTCATTTGTAAAAACATCATCCCATAGTTCATAGCTTAGCATTTCTTGAAATTTAATTATATTATAATTACTATAATTTCTCATGTACTGAGGATTACCTACTTGTTCGGATGATATTATATTATCAATTATTATCATTTGAGCATCATGATCAGATAGTCCGTTAATTATTGGTTTAACTGTATAATTTCTAGTCTTTTTTATATATATGTTGTCAATAGCAGTTTTTGATACCTTAACAATTCGTGTTGGAAAATTAACCGTGCCTATTAGATTGTAAGTATTTAAGAGCACATCAAGTTGTTTCCTTCTATCGCAATTTTCTAGATAATTTATATTCACATCACCACATATAACATATTCGACTTTATTATTATGTAGCTTATTCAAGATGGCATCCAATTTTTGCAAAAAATTGTTGAAGTTTCCACTAGGTGACCTATAAATAGCTAATATGATCAATGTGATATCAGTCAGGTTTAATTTGATTGCACAGGCTTCGATGTCCCTTTCCACACAGTAGTTAGACACAGATAGAGAATCAAATTTAATTGAGTTATAAATATATATACATACACCCCCATTTTTGTATGTTGCTCTACAATAATTGGCCCCTAATACATAATTATCTACACATATTTTATTTATTTCATATTCTTTTAAATGGTGTTCAGTCAAACATATTTAACAGTCCAAATATAGTACATTTCATCAGGATTTAAAAATTAGAATATAGAATAAAAATTCAGTATACAATCAGTCATTTCGTAGCAAGAACCTTAAAATTTTGAACACTATTTATTAACGTATTCCTCTACAGGATAAAAGGAAAAGAGCTGTGAGGAAATCATTCATGACCATCTTAATTATATACAGTCATATGTTATAAATACAAGAAGTATCGATGTCCCTCTGATGATGGTCTATAGGGACCGAAACATGTAAGGGTGTTAAGTTTTCAAGTAGTGAGAACTTCAATGGTCACACTGGACGGAGTTGCTTTGTCTTTGTAATTGTTAGTGTGACGGACCAGAATGAAACAAAAAAAAAAAATCCAAGTCATATGTTATTTAAACAGATGGTCTATTACAATACCATACTATCATAAAATTTATACCCTTAAATGCCTAGCGACTAGTCAGTGGGTAATACATCATGTGTAAAATCAACCTAACAAACAATTCAAGAGAATATCTGGATTACAAACCTTTGTCTTCATTATATTGAAAGTATTCATTTATGGAGTAAAAAGAATGAGACATAAAAACCTCTTTAATGTAAATTTAAAGCTTTTCTGATCATTGACCAAAATCTTTATTGATTGTGGAAGATGATTGAACAATTTAATACCTGTTATATAGGCTCCTTTATTAAATTTTGAAGTATTCACACTAGGTACATGTAAATTACCTTGGGATCTAGTTGTATTGTTCTGCCATAAAAGGGAGGCTAGGTAAATTCATTGATCTCTTTGGCATCTGCCCCTTTGGCTTTGAGTTCGCAGTTCTCCTGGGACATTTGGGGGATGCAGGAGGCGATAGGGGAAGGGTGTGTGAAATGTGGGATGGGGTCCATTAATGTTACACTGCATTCCTATTTTACTCTATTCATCTATATCCCTATATACATACAAACAATGCCAACGTTTGTCGGGTTTACATTTCACATAGTTTGTTAATTACTTCTGTATGGACATAGTTATATACTTCTCTCCTGACTCTGGGTCTCCTATACCTCTCTCCCCCTGCTCTCCTCTCGCTCTCTCTGTCTCTTACACCATGCCGCGGACCGTGCTTCGGTATTCTTAAGCCTGTTCTATATAGTCCTCACTCCTGCTCGCTGGGGTTTGCACTTTAATAATGTTATCCTCAATTTTCATGGCTATAAGTAGTAGTTCCACTTACTTGCGGCAAGGATGCAGAAGAACATCACCATCCAGCACTCTCTCAGTGTCATCTCGATGATAGCCTTCGGCCACAACTCTACTGAAAATTATTGATCGAATATCCCCTTTCTAGTTTCCTCTAGTATTTTTGTACCCTCTTTTTGCTAATTTGTCAACTTCCGGGAGGGTGTACTCCTACCCGCAATGACATGATTTCATTGGGGTGGCTAGCTCTCATTGGCTGCCTGCCGAGAGGGGGTTCGCGTTTTCTAGTCTGCCCGCCCCCTTCGACTCAGCAATCTTACCTCCAAGCATCCTGCTTTCTGTGTAACACGCTTCTGCGCAGTCAGCATTGCTACACTGACGTGGTACATTCATACATTCCATTTCACATTTCCTAACTGTATTTCAAAATACTTGTTCTAGTCTAGCCCCAAACATATTAACCATAAGAACATATTAACATTAAAACATAATACCTGCCATAAACCTGAGTGCATAACATATATATTCATGAATCTCATTATTAAAGTTAAATAAATGTTTATTATTAATTATATATAAAAGTAGTGAGTATACTGGGAATATAATGTCATAATTTCCGATTTCTTGAAAATATCCCTGCAAGAATCTCTAGGTTTAGTGTTCATTACGATTCTAATAATTTTCTTTTGCAAGGTAAACACTTTCCTGGCATGTGAGGAGCCACCCCAGAAGATTATACCATAACTCATGATGGAGTGTACGTAAGCAAAGTAGACTGGCCTTAACGTTGCAAATGATGCAATGTTTTGTGATTATGGAAAGAATGCATTCATAGAGACTACAGAAATGGTAGTTCTGGCAGTGATAAGAAATAGGAATACATAAATTTAATAAAAATATTTCAAGGAAATTAGAGTTTCATGGTTAGAAAAAGGGAGATTTTTACTCACTTTTTCAGATTATGAGCCTATTTACTCATAGATGAAGGTACTTCAAATGGAGTGATGTGTATATAAAGCATTGATTAAGAACAGAATTATTAAGACTTCCAGATTTTTGGACCAGCATCTAAAGAGACCTTATAGACAGGTGTTATGCATTACATATTACAGTCCTGAAAACAGGGTTGAAACATTGAGTAGGCAGACAAGCATTAGAGAATCCTTTCAAACACTAAGAGGAGTCATTAGGATGCTTGCTAAAACTTATGACTTTTGTAGTACTTAGTTTCATTATCCGATTTCCAATTTTATACTTATTGAGACCTGTTGCAGATATTACAAAACAGAATCTTCCCATTTTTTTTAGAAGTCTTCTCAACTTCTTTTGCCATCTGGTTAATATTTTAAATTATTTCTGGAATCCTATCAATGCATTCTTTCAAGTTTATTTTGCATTGTTCAGTACATTCTGTAATTTGTGAAATTTGTAGTTTTCTCATAATTTTTTCATTTATTTTATGATCTAAAGGAATGTGTACTACATTTATCCTAATGAGACACAATTCTGCTGATACCAATCTCGTCTTATAAGTTCTAATTATCCATGATTTACTGCAATAAGATAACATTGGTTTGATAAATTTATATTCCTGTATGCTTAGGACCTAATAAAGATTTAAAGACAGGATTTAATTTTTATTGCATAAGTGTGTAAAATCTTGAATTGCATGTGGACCCTTGTCTGGCATTTATTTGTTTATTATATGGTATTTCCATTCCATGGTTTAGTGATACTTGAGTAATACTAAGAGTGTGTATTGCTCACAGAGCTATATGATGTCTGTGAACTAGTGGGTTCAGACCAAGCTACACTCCAAGGAGCCATGACATCCCGCACCCTAGAGGAAAGTCAAGACTTTGTTACAGCCGATCTGAGTGCCAGTGAAGCCACATATGCCCGTGATTCTCTCTGTAAGGCTCTTTACAGTCGCCTCTTCACCTGGCTAGTCAACAAGATCAATGAGAGTACCAAGGTGGCTACATACAAAATTTTTATAGTTTAGTTCTAACATAGCTAGTGTGAGACTGAAAACTGACCATGTTAATTTGTGTTTGGAGATTGGTGTTATAACAACAGCATGCTGAAGAATTATTAGGAATTTGTGGACAAAATAATATTATATGCTGGAATTCTATATGTTATATAATGGTGAATGCAAAAGATTTTATTATGCAGGCTGTTTGCACAACACTTCTGCATAAAGAATCCATGAATCATTCTAGTTGTTAATAGTTAAGAAATTAAGTATTTATGGGAATGTATTGTAGTAAATTACAGTAAGAAGTATTTCATAAAATTGTGTAGGTGGTCCTTTTTTTCAGCTGCCATGCATGCTACCAAGCAACTGGTGCATACCCAGCAAACTTGAGAAAAATCAAAGTCACATACCTGGTGGTGCATTGCATGTTTGAGCCTTGAGGTTAAAAGGAGGCATGAGAGTACTGACCAAATTTTCTTTTATAGAAAGAATGCTATATGTGTAGGTATGGTTATGTTACATTACCCTATCAAGTTCCACATGTTTGTCAGTTATTGCTGTGAAATGGAAAAGAAAATACAGATTGTGTACAGTTACCATGTTATCTTATTATTATGTTAAAAATAATGTAATTTTTGGAAGATCTGTCACTACACAATATTTCATGACCCTACAGTTTGTGCTGCTGGTCTTCCATACCAGAAGTTCTCACAGATTCTAAATTTATAATATTGAAGACAAAAATTTAGAAGCTAAGGGAGTTATTAGCCTGCAGTGATGTGAAATTTTTTCCTGGTTTTATGAAAATGGGTAGAATAGTTCAAATATTTTAGCAGAGAGCAGACTCATATTCCCATCATGGACAAGATGATGCCATAAGATTGATATTTTTCTTACAGTAAGTATCATAAAAATATCTCAGTAATTTTATGATGTACAGAACACAGTGTAATTTCTGTAACAGAAATGCAGCATATTGAAATCAGTGGTAAACTTAAAAGTATGAGGATTGGAACTTTAAGAGTGGCAACTATTTATTTACAACTGATACAAAATAGATGCATGTTTCGAAGTTTTACTGTCCTTCAGTGTAGTTACCAGCATTGTGTGCAACCCATTGCCAGCAATGTGGAAGTCGTAGGATACCTTTAGCAGCGGCTGTTGTGTTGATAGTTCGAATGGAGGGGTCTACTGCCTGAAGAATCTCTAGAACAGTTCTGAAGCGAATGCCATGAAGTGGTTTCTTCATCTTAGGACTCAAGTCGAAGTCACAAGGTCTTAAGTCCGGGGAGTATGGCGGATGGTACAGCACTTCCCAACCCCATCAATTGAAGAAATCAGCCACAGCTTGTGCTGCATGAGGCCAAGCATTGTCCTGCAAAATGATGGGTGGGTTCTGCAGAAAGTGTCGCTGCTTCTTTCTCAAAGCTGGTCGCAGGTTGTGTTCCAAAAATGAATAGTAATACTGTGCATTGATGGTCTGCTGTCAGGGAATGGTATGCATTAGGATAACACCATCACAGTCATACATGAGAATCACCATAACTTTCATACTGCTGGGGTTCTGACGAACTTTTGATTTTCATGGTGACCCATAATGATGCCATTCGTTCGATTGGCATTTCATTTGTGGCTCATACGATTTGGCCCATGTCTCATCAAGTGTAATGATACAGTGTAAGAAAGCCACTCCTTCATGCTCATAGTGCTCCAAGTGGTTATGAGCAGCGTCGTATCGTAGCCATTTCTGCATTTCCGTCAAATCATTCGGAACCCATCGTGATGCAATTTTTCTCATGCCCAGGTGTTCCTTCAGAATGTGAAGCACAGTCATATGCGCTAATCCTGTCTCTTAGGCCAGCTCGCAAATTGTATGGCGTTGATCACTCTCCAGTAACGTGTAAAGAGCATACACTTCTTCACTGACACTAGGATGACCTGGCCGATGCATGTCTGCCACATTTTGGCGTCCCTCATTGAAGGCTTTTACCCACCTTGCTACTGTTCTGTAAGGCAATGCAGATTCCCCCCAAGCCTCTTGAAGACCTTGATGACACTGTCGTGCTGTACGGTCTCTGGCACATTCAATCTTTGTCCAACTCCATTGTTCCTGTTTTGAAAACATTGTGACAACACTACATTAGACTGCCAGCTAACATGAGGCTCTGTTCTTCTCATCACTGCGCATGTGTGTGATGTGGGAAGGGAGAGTCCATTTGCTCTTGAGGTAAGGTAGGTATGTAGCGGCCTCCGTAGTCTAGAGGTAACGTTCCCACCTCATGACTTGTGGTATGCGGGTTCAAATACCCGGCGGAGGTCGTCGAATTTTTTAGGGCGGAAAAATTCAGGGAACAAGTCCTCCGGGAGGGACTTTAAGCTCTGTGTCCCGTGTCGTAACTTTACGGCACATAAAAGAACCTCATATCCCCAAAGGGGATCACTGAGCCAAATTCCAGGACGTTTCCCGCCCAACAGCAGTCTCTAAGGCCTCTGATAGATGGGGAAAGCATTATAGACACCGCTAAGCAAGTGGCCGAACTCACTTGCTCGGCGGGACTGATGGTATGCACCATTTATCGGTAGGGTATAGAGACTGGTAGAATATCATACAGGGAAGCACAATAGATCAAACCGGTCACAGTGCATGGGGAAACCCACCCTCTCTAAATAACTAACTAAGGTAGGTATGTAACTAACATGTGGTATAAGCGAAATTATTTGGTTCCGTTACATGGCGTCTCTACAGCAATGTTGCCACTATTAAAGTGCCAACCCTCGTATTAATAAAGGAAACCCAGTTGATATAAGCCATTTGATTCCAGAGAAAACAGGTCCTTATCAGAATATATAAAAATACAACTTCAAATGGACTTATTTAGAAGAAATAGTAAAGTTTAGAAATTTGTTATGATTAGGATCATTGTAATATTCGCATAATTAGTCTGTAACATTGTTCCATTAAAATACAACTTACAGGCACTGCATCACTAATTAAGGAAATTCCAGGAAAAGGTACACCTCTAATGTATTCTAAATATTGTATTAATAATGCAGTATTATGGCCATGAAATTATAGTGTTGACTATATCAGCAAAGTTTTCGGCAATCTTGACAGACAAATAAAAATAAGTGTAGACCCACTCTGTATAGGCCTTCTGAATTGGTACTTTCTTCTGTGAGCTTCAAACCATGTCTAATATATTTTTGTTTGTTTCCTAGTATGGTCTGCTGTTGAGGTGATTAGTGGTATGAGTCATACACATACACATTATTTTGTTGCCGAATATGCCTGAAATTAAGAGGAGGCAAAATTGGGCCTGTTGAAATCGACTATAAACTTTAAGTATTAATACGGGAATTTTATTTGTACAGGCTACTGTCTTATCCAGAGAAAGCCATTCCTTATTAGAATGGAAAGTCTGTCCACTTGTGACATACTGTATAAGTAACGTTCAAGCAGCATAGTGATGCTCTAGAGCTCGTTATTGTGGTAACCTGAAAGTACATAATTTTGGAGCTTCCAGTCACTAAAACTTTTTTATATATTGTCGCGTATCGCGGGGTATAACGCGACAAATAAGTTCACGATGTATTTTATATAGCGAACTTTATTTCACATCCGCTCTCACAATCACTCAATATTACAATCTGACGATTACTGCTATCTGCAGTATCACAAATATTACACTCCAAATGCCAGAATACAACTGACTGGCTGACTCTACGTCTCGACTCGGCGATATCCACGGTATAACTGTTGCCGTACAACTCTGAACTGTCTTCGACGGCTGTGGAGTCCACTTATATAGCCTTTCGCTGTTGCTAGTGTGACGTGGCGTATAGCCCAGGACGCTGTTGCTAGTGTGACGCCACCGCTGTTGATTAGCATTGCATAGTTACCAGGTTACGGGGGCTCGGCTATCTTCGGCTCCACTCGTGACGTCACCGCTGTTGATTAGCATTGCGGGGTGATTACTCACCTATTACGCGATCGCTAAGTTACCGCTACGTGGAGCTGGGACAGTAGGGATCAACATGTCACAATATAGATAGAATTCTGAACAGGATTATATTTTACATAATATGGTGCCTAGCTCAGGGCTACGCAGTAGTGTAGTTGCTTGAGTCATTTTGCTACAAGCCAAAGGTCATGGGATTGAATCCCAATGAGATGGATTTTTTCAGTTTACCTAATCTTTCCAGCTGCACTATGGCCCTGGGGTCAACTCAGCCTCTAGCAGAAATGAGTACCAGGAATATTCCTGGGTGTAAAGGTGGCTGGCGCATAAGGCTGACAACCTCACCGCCATCTGTGAGCTGACTGTCTAGAAAATGTTGGAGCCTCAACCTCTCACAACCCTATGGCCCTCCACGGCCTGTTGCAGTGATGCCTTTACCTTTTTACCATGGTGTCTAGATCACTGAAGCTGATTAAGCACTTAAAGAAATTTCATTGACACATTATGTTAAATAGCTTTGTATCAAATTAATTTCTGTTTTTATAGGTGAAACATTATGGTAAAAGGAAAGTGCTAGGCATTCTTGATGTATATGGGTTTGAGATGTTTGAACGAAATGGGTTTGAGCAGTTCATCATCAATTTCTGCAATGAGAAGCTACATCAAGTAGTAATGGAGACAACACTCAAGGAGGAGCAGGAAGAATATGTGCATGAGGGCATTGAGTGGACACCTATCGAGTTCTTTAACAACTCTGTTATTTGTGAACTCATAGAGAAGGTATGCTGTAGAGTAGTTACAACAGGAATTTCTAGAAACTGGATTTCTCCTCATCATCTTGAAGGTTTTCAGTTTTCATATGTTAATAAATATCTCTAATGTTGATGAAATTGTCATGTCCATTATTGTCCATTATTTATGGAGTATATTTTGTAAATGATGTTGCAAATTTTATTAAAAGTCCATATACAGTAAACTCCCCATTATCAGGTATCCAATCATACAGGATTCACATTCAAATGGGAGAAATTCCAAAGAAAATATGCCATTTTATTAAGTTACTTCTAATCAAATGTTGTGATGTGCATATGTTCTCCCACAATACAATAGTTCTCCCAGCTGTCGCCCAGAGCCCAGCTCACCATCCTGCCTCACCAGGTGCCATCCAGTACAGGTGTAGTGATGCATTATTACAGTAGAGGTTAGCTTAGTTTTTGCTAATCCTACAGCATATCTGAAATCTTTCATCCGTCAATCTAGCATGTTTCCAGAAATTGTACCAAAACAAGAAATAAGGTAAAAACATATTGTCTTGACTTTGAAACAGACAATTGAAATACTAAAAGACTGAAAAATAGTGGAAATTTGGTTCTAGAAGAGTTTTCCTATGCAACTGGAAGATTCATGTAACCAGAAACCCCATTTCACATGCAACCATGAGTAAAATCTGTGTATATGATTCAGCTTTTGGGATGTGTTGCATTTATGCCTTATATCCAAAATTTATTTATACAGATTAATACATACATATTAAAAGCACAAACACATGACTGATTTTACATTATTCTATTAAAACACAGAATTCAGACATTTAACATTAATTGTTTGTAGAATGTTTCACATGTTTCATGCCCAGCATACCCAGCAGACCCAACAGCATAACGCACGCAGTCGCGAGAACAAGACGCAACAGAAACACAATACACACGATAGGGAAGAAGAGCTCCAACAGAGTAGGATGAGCATGACTGGCGTAATAAGATACGACGTAGCGATCGGGAATCCTGAACAGTTTTAATATTTTTACGATTGACATTTGTCAATATATATGATGGACATATATTTTAGTTATTTTAAAGTGAAGACAAGGCATACAATGTACTAGTTTGACGTGAATTGAGTAGCACCTGAAGATGGCATTTTTATGCCGAAACATGTAGTGAGAGTGAGAGAAGAAGATAGATAAGTGTACGCACTGCAAGACGGATTAAACAAATCAGGAACTTAAATCAGTGCAACAGGACGCTAAAATATAACATTGTTTCATGCCATATATATTGTCAATTTTAGGAACCAAAATGAGATTTATGATGTGTAAAATGTTATAGATGCATCGGATATCTCAGAGATACTAATTCAAATTAAAGGCACAACATTCCATGTGTATGAAGTAAATAAAATCCTGGCTACTGTGATTCTGGGATACAGCCACCTTGTTGCTCTTTTCCTCTTCTCTCTCCAGTGCCAAGCTTAGGATGTAACAGCCCTTACATTGCTCCTTGGCATGACATATAGGCACATATTTGTAATGATTAAACATTTCCATCTTTGTGACTGATGTCAGTACTTATTCTAATGTTAATTGTATTATAGAACAATCACGGCATTCTCTCAATGCTGGATGAAGAATGCCTAAAATCAGGGGTTCTGTCTGATGAAGTATTCCTAAGGAAACTGGCCCAGTGTTGTGCTGATAATTCTCACTGTGAGGTCAAGGGTACAGCAGTGTCTCACAGAAACTTTGTCACCACACCTGGTGCCTCTGACAACAGCCTTCCACCCAACTGCTTCCGGTGAGTACATTACTTAAATATTTGAAATGCTACTTTCAACATGACAGAGAGATTCATATCTCATACTCTTTGCTTGCTTTTGTTAGATATGAAATTAAAAGAAGTTGAGATGAAGAGTGTATATATTAGATGTATATAAAAGTTTTATTGGCAGAGTTAGCAGAAAGAGACCCTTTTGCAGTGAACCGTTATTTACCCGGACTGTAACCAGTCCGAAATTTCAGGAGAGGGAAAGGGGGAGGAGTTCATTCACTTGTTGTGTGGGAAATACACGCACAAATCGAGAGCTATGCTGACTGAGTTTAACAATACAATAATATAATAACGAAATAAATATACATTTAACAATAATAAAGGAAATAAAACATATGATATGAATACAAGAAATGATATTACAAGAAACCTAGCATGACCCACTCCCGTCATTCAAGCCAATACCTTTCTCATGGGGCACCGCCCATTTAATTTCACAAAGCAAGAAAAGAAAAAAAATATAATAATACTCACATGTGTATACGTAGTCACAGGGTACCCATACGTATATATTTATAAAAAACACCTTTGCCTCGCCATTGCTCCATAGCTCAGCAAAGGGGCCCTCTCCTGGGACACACCACGCTGACTTCCAAAAATAAATTTAATTTTGAAAAAAAAAGGAAACCAAACAGAAATTTCTAAGAGCAGGGACAACCACCCTGCACGACCGCCACCCAGGGAAAGAGAGCGATCGTTCGTGTCATCTTGCCACGACAAGAGGAGGAGGAAGGAAAAAGGAGGGGGAGGGTCACGTGACATCTTTGAAAAGAACATTACAAGAAATATATGAGCATTGGCTGTGGTTGACTGCAATTCCACGACGCCTTTCACGGGGCGAACCCTTTGAATCGTCTTCAGACGGTTCAGCAGACTGAACTATAGTTAGGGGGATAATATTAAAACAAGTAATTAGGTTGCAAGGGTGTGAACTGAGGCCCTATTATAATCATGGGAATTTTGTGAATTTTAATGTTTCCAGTAAGCAGAGGTTTATAGAGTAATTAACTCCTCAAGGGTGTGAACTGAGGCCCTATTATAATCATGGGAATTTTGTGAATTTTAATGTTTCCAGTAAGCAGAGGTTTATAGAGTAATTAACTCCTCAAGCTATACCAGTTATTTGGAGAGACAGTATAGATCAGTCTGTTTGTTGGTCAGTTGGTCTACATTCAACTTCAATTAAAAGTAATTTTGTTAGACACCATGTTATAATATGCTCAGTCTCATGTGGTATACTTTTTCTAGTAATGAACTAAGTAAGATAAAAGTAAGTACAGGTATCCCTGTAACAGGCCATGGAGGTCCATAGGGTTGTGAGATGTTGAGGTTCCCACATTTTCTAGACACTTGGCTCATAGATGGCGGCAAGGTTGTCAGCCTTACGCACTGGCCACCCTTTACTCCCAAGAATATTCCTGGTACACATTTCTGTTAGGGGCTGAGTAGACGCTAGGGCCATAGTGCTGCTGGAAGCATTAGTTCAATTGAAAAAATCCAATTACCTCATCAGGACTTGTACCTGCAACCTTCCAGCTTGTAGCATAGTGCCTCAACCAACTATGCTACCGCTTGCCCCCAGTAATAAACTGTTACTCAATTAAAACCGTTAATATCTTTGTCTCCAGTATGCAGAGTGTTTAAAAAAATATGTTGTTACTTGAACTGCCTGCCTGGAAAGTCATTTTGGAAAGGCACATATGTAATTAGTCTTGTTTCTGGGCTCTAAAATATTAGCACACTTGAGTATGACTAATTGTCTGAGATGTAATGAGTAACTAGTGTCATTGTTATGTGTGAAACATGGTAGAGGTTAGTGGTTAGGATCTGATCAAAGTGAACTGATCTGTAAATGATATAAACTCCGTCTCAAGTGCAAACAGTATATTTTGTGTCTTTGATCTTGCTTCCCCACACTACATGTTTCGGCCTCAGACGGCCATCATCAGGTGTATAACACTCACGTCGCTGTCACACTGCACCCAGCTCAAAATTTAACATCTAAAACACTCTCCCTGTCATTATCAACTTCCAATCCGTTGATAGCTGTCTGGCTCGTAGATTATTTCACACACGTTAATTTTACTTTATTGTAATGGCACCATAATAAAATCTTTAGTTCTAATTTTAAAACCTTTAAATTCTTTCTCCAAATTTTAAAATTTTAAAATTATTAGGGTTATTCGCCCTATGTTTAAAGTGCTGCAGCGGCTAGTTCTTGTTTCCACACTGTATAGTTGTTATCCTGTGTAGTCTTTCTGTGTGCGTGCCGCTGCTATTCTTTATTACGTGTGCTACGTAGTGCCATTACAATAAAGTAAAATTAACGTGTGTGAAATAATCTACAAGCCAGACAGCTATCAACGGATTGGAAGTTGATAATGACAGGGAGAGTGTTTTAGATGTTAAATTTTGAACTGGGTGCAGTGTGACAGCGACGTGAGTGTTATACACCTGATGATGGCCGTCTGAGGCCGAAACATGTAGTGTGGGGAAGCAAGATCAAAGACACAAAATATATTGTTTGCACTTGAGACGGAGTTTATATCATTTATCGTATAGAGTGCAACAGGATGCTTAAATATAATATTGAACTGATCTGTATTTCATGCATGTGTGTATGTGAAGGCATTGCTGCAGGTGATTCATTTAATATATGCTGTTACAGACATAACACTGACTTCTTAAGAGTCAAACATTCTTCAGTATGCATTGAAATATCAGAGAATGTACTTGTTTACTGAGCATGGCAAAAAGGCTGACACCATGAATGTTGAGGCATATCACTGATGGAGTGTGGCTATAGATGATCCATTTACATTACCTATCAGGCTGCTGCAAGAATGAGGATGTTTCATAGCTCTATGGAACTTGTGTGAATTTCAGATTCCAGTTATACTGTGTATAGCATGTTCATGGATTCTGATTCAGCAGTCCTGAGACTTTGGTATTCAGCTGTCAGATTCAACATCATGGTGTTAAGAACTCACACTTTCTCTCTGTTCTTCTGTGTTGAATGAAGTTCATAGGATCACAAATGAGCACAGTTACCATATGTATTAGCTAAGTCTCCACATTCAGTTGCAGTGCAAGACTAACAGAGGAATCTCCTCATGGGACTATATTTGCAAGAGCCTACTGGATCTTGTCCAGTGCCAGATGAATCTAGTTCACATCCCCACCTCTCTGAGAAGCATATTGTTCATTAGCAGACCTGGTTCATATTTTGTTTATAAGTTACTGGAATTAATGAATTACATTTTAACTACATAATAAATAATGTCATCAAGAAAGAAAAAGAAAAGACATACTGATTCAATGTGTGATAATACCTCCAAAGCTAAATTATAACTGAAATAAAATGTAATTTTGCATGAAACTATACAGTACTAACTTTTTACCATAACATTTGGCTGTTATCATTAGGAAAGACAGTAATCAGACACAGGAACTGTCATATTTGCTGGAAGATACAATGTTGCTGTCAGAACTCATAAGCTCCATGAACACATGTTGGTATTAATCTTTAAGTACCTACTTAATTTGTGTTTGAACCATGATCGATGTGGAGTCTCTTTCCAAACTTTTTCATTGAAATACATATCTTTATTGTTTATACTTGCAGACTGAGACACTATGCAGGCACAGTGACCTATAATGTGTGTGGGTTTGTGGACAAGAACAATGACATTTTGCATCGAGACTTATCTCTTGCCATGTATCGCTGTGAGCATCCACTTCTCAAAACACTTTTCCCTGAAGGTGAGTGGCATACATTGAGAAATATCAATGGTCTTAGAAGTTCTTTGGATGAACAGTTGTGAATTTAATGTGCTCATCTGGGAAATAGAAGGAAACTCTAGAAATAAGCTTTGCTTTGTGCTTTATTTCTGATGAGGTTAGCAGATATTACAAATTAATAATGATATAATTTATTTATCCGTTTTGGAACATAATTTCCACTACTACATATTCAGAGTACATTGAATTTACTAGTTATAATCTCAGACGTTCGCACCATCATCTTTGTCCCTCATTGCAAACATATAAAGAAATGTTTTGTGTAAAATTTGTATGTTGTATTATTATATGTATCCATACAGAATTTTGAATTCGTAGCTCCAATGTTGCTGTGTCACATGAAACAGAAATCAAAATACAGATTTTGTGTGGCTGCATGCTGTTAGAGTACCTTTTTCAATAAAAAAGGATACCATAACAAAAATTTCAGTTTTTTAAAGACCCATTACCATGCTACATTTTAAGATCAGACACTATGTAGCACTCTTCTTGGTCCAAGCCAAGAAATTTGAATGCCCTCCATGTTGGCATTACTGATGAATGATTTGAAATTGAAAAGTTCAATAGTGGAAGAGGTTGCTGGTGGTATTATGTTAATACCAAACATTATGAAAACCTGACACTCAATTCAAAAGTTATTTCTTTATTTCATTTTCCCATAAATCAAAATACATTGATACAGGATTCATCATATCACAATACTATAGCAAGAGACATATACAGGTAATTCTACAGGTAAACAATACATATAAATCATGCTTATCAAAACGAAAAGCTGCATAAAAATCAAGACAAAAGATTACATCAACCACACAAAAAACTGTATCAGATCAGCAATCAGATTATAAATTATTTGTAATAAGTAGGGCCTGGATTTTTATGACCTAAAAACTATAAATATATGCATGCACTTATGACCCAAAATTATGTCAAATATGACCTAAGAAGTGTAAAATATGACCTTAAATATTAAATGGGACATAAAATTTCACAATTTTAATTAAAGATAAGAATAAAATAATTAAGAATAAAATTAAGAATAAAGATGATGAATATATGATAGTAGGTCCTACTTACCAAATTAGCCCTATTATGTCTCTGAAGGAAAGAAAACTGATGGAATTTCGACATTTCGTACTGGATTAAACCATTCATTGCTTTCTTTTTAATACTGATATTTGCGTTCATATTTTAGACAAACACTGGTGCACATGGTATGAACACTAACTTAACTCTGTTATCTAAAAACACCATTTAAAAGAACACAAGCTATTCACGTCTCAATTTTCACTG